CCTGCGGGCTCAGGCAATCCACTCACCTCAGCCTCCCAAAGGCGTGGGTTTACAGGCTGAGCCACTGAGCCTGGCTGTTTGTAGATATAAAATAAGCACTGGATTTTGAATACTTAACACACAACAAAGTAAAATATCTCACTATTAAAATATTGATTACTCGCTGGGTGTAGTGGCTCATGCCTATAATCCCAGCACTTTGGGAGGCGGAGGCAAGAGGGTTGCCTGAGCCATCGGGTTTGAGACCAGTGGGCGACATGCCGAGACCGCATCTCTAAAATAAATTTAAAAATTAGCTGGGCGTGTTGGTGCATGCCTGTAGTTGCAGCTACTTGGAAGGCTGAGACAGAGGATTGCCTGAGTCCTGCAGGTTGAGCCTGCAATGGCCATGAACATGCCACTACACTCCAGCCTGAACGACAGTAAGACTCCAACTCAAAAAAATAAAAATAAATAAAAATGATTATTCCTTGAAATGTGTTTAGGTGTACTGGATTAAATAAATGTATTCTTAAAAGTAATTTTCTTTAAAAAACTTTATCACTACTAAAAATTTTAAAATTACTTGTGGCTTGTACTCTCAGTATTTTTTCTATTGGATAGCTGGCTTTACATTCACTGGCTTTCTCAGTGGGGTTCCAGAAGAGAATGGCCAAGGCATCCTTAATCTGTAATGCATTGAGCTCTGTGCATTGAGAATGGCACTAGTAGCCGGGCTCGCTGGTTCAGCCTGTAATCCCATGCCTTGGGAGGCTGAGTTGAGTGGATTGCCTGAGCCCGCGGGTTCGAGACCTGTCTGGGCAACTTGGCAAGACCTCATGTTTACAATAAATCAAAAATTAGCCGGGCATGGTAGCGTGTGCCTGTAGTTCCAGCTACTTGGAAGGCTGAGGCGGAAGAATCGCCGGAGACCAGCGGGTCGAGGCTGCGGTGGCCGGGAGCAGCCACTACACTCCAGTCTGGGCCACCGAGTGAGACTCCAACTCAAAAAAAAAAAAAGAGAATGGCACTAGTTGCAAACTGCCCTTGGGTTAGAATAAGGAAGCCCTGTTGGGAAACCTTCAGACAGAGACATTAAGAAGTGGGATGAATGAGAGGCAGGCCTTTTCATGAAATGGGGAAGAAGGGCAGTTATACAAGGAGTGGTGGGAAATGCAAAAATCTGAGGAGTCCTCAGCTTACTTTAGGAAACAGTCTGCGAAGGGGGCACCAACAAAAACCTGGAATTATCTTTTGGAGAGCAGGCCCCTTTTAGTACAGGTTTCCCCCACTAGGTAAGTGTTCTAGGAACCCATCAGCATCAGTGTACCAGTGAGAGTCTATGTTCAGCTTCACTGATTTTTTTTTTTTTGAGATTGTTTTATTGTGTTTGCCCATTGCATAGTGGGTGACTTACAAGTGCACCTGCCCATACCATCCTCAGTATTCAGCAGTTTTTGACTAAAGACATAGCATGACCTTTTTGTCCCACCCTCTCTATTCACTTGATTTCGCTCCTAGTGACTTTTTTGTTTCCCTGATGGAAAAAAATCCTTGAAGGGAAAAATGTTTCCCAGGTGGAAGAGGTGAAACAAAAAATCACAGAAACGCTAGAAGGCATCAAAATTGATGAGTTCAGAAAGTGTTTTGAGTTGTGGAAAAAACTTCTCAATAGATGTGCTGCATCAAACGGAGAGTACTTTGAAGGTGACTAAAGTTTAAACATGTAAGAATACACAATTAAAAAAATACATTTTATATTGGGGGGGTTCCCCCCTCATATGTGAGAACTGATTACCTGGCTAGGTGCTGTGGCTCATGCTTGTAATTGCTAAGACATGGAGTTCAAAAGTAGCCCTGGCAACATAGTAAGACTCCATCGCAAAAGAAAAGAAGAAACTGATTCCCATTTAGCTACTCATGTTCTGGTTTTATAACCTTTGGCGAGTGTGTGGGGCGTAGTTGTGCCCAGTTTTTGTTTGGTTTTGGTTTTTGTTTTTGAGTTGGAGTCTCGCTCTGTCACCCAGGCTGGAGTGTAGCCTCGATCTGCTGGGCTCAGGCGATCCTTATGCCTCAGCCTTCCAAGTAGCTGGAACTACAGGCATGTGTTACCCTGCCTGGCTAATTTTTTGATTTTATTGTAGAGATGAGGTCTCACCAAGTTGCCCAGGCTGGTCTTGAAACCCTGAGCTCAGGCAATCCTCGTGCCTTGGCCTCCCAAAGTGCTGGGATTACAGGCTTGAGCCACATTGTCTGGCCTAGTTGTACCCAGTTTGCAGATTGTTCTTGTAAAGCTTATGACTTCACTCAGATAAGAAAAAGGGCATTTAGTTGATTGCTTTTATAAATGTAGGATTTCATACCAGATAGGATACATTTAATAGAGAGGGTGTTTTCTAAGTTTACTGTTAATCCTTACCTCAGGCATATGTTGAAACAGATTCCAGTCTTGCCTCTGTCTTCTCCAGTCAGACTGTCCAGGTGGGGACCTGGGAATGTGAATTAGTAACAAGTTTCCCGGGTGACTTACTGTAAGAAGTGTTTGCCAGATATCCCATATACCATTCAAATCCCCTTAAAAAATTGCTTGGAATAAGTTTATTGACTTGGTAGAGCTGTGAATACCCTAGATTGTACAGATCTGATAGGGAACAGGACCTGTTTAGAGATGCTTATTTGTATTTGGGTTTGATTTGGAATATGTATAATCTCCAAGTTCCTGCCATTTGGAACAATATAATGTCAGTATACTGGGAAGATTGAACACAGGAAGAGCCAAGGAGCCCAGCATTCTCATCAGGTTTGCCTTCTTGAGAAGCTCATTCCTGGCTTTTGTTCAGACATGGCGGACCTGAAGCTGTGGTCTTAGATGAGTCTTTTCTCTCCCTTTCCCTTTTCTTCCTCCTCCCTTCTCTTTCTTTTCTCCTCCCATTTACTTCCCTTCCTCCTCCTCACTTTCCCTCCTGCGTCCCCCCCCCCTTTTCTCTTGCTCAGATCCTTTAGCCCTGCCTTCCTGCCACAACTTCCTGTTTTCTTTTCCTTTTTTTCTTTCTTCTGCCTGCTTTGGATTTTCATCTTTTCTAATTGGGAGAGAGCTTCTTAAGTGTTAGTTTAAAAATAAAAAGTGAGTACTTTCCAAGGGTTTAGCGTCTGCACTGCTAGATTATGCCAGAGCTGGGTTTGCTAAATTATGTCAGCAACTTTGCCTAGAATATTGACTGTCTAATAGCAATCTTCTGAGATTTTTCTGAATATTTTTAAGAATATGTAAATGTTGGCATTCTTTTTGGACCCTCAAAACTAGGACCAATGTCAAGATAACTAATGTAGTAAGTAAAGATTGAAAACTGTAGCTGGCCAGGCGTGGTGACTCAAGCCTGTAATGCCAGCACTTTAGGAGGTAGAGGCGAGAGGATTGCCTGAGCCCACAGTTGGAGACCAGCCTGGGCAACATGGTGAGACCTCTTCTCTACAATAAATGAAAAAAAAAAATTAGTTGTGCATGGTAGTGTGTGTCTGTGGTTCTGGCTACTTGGAAGCCTGAGGTGGAAGGATCACCTGAGCCCAGCAGGTTGAGGCTGCAGTGGCTGGGAGCGTGCCAGTGCAGTCCAACCTGGATGACAGAGTGAGACTCCAACTCAAAAAAAATTAAAAAAAGAAAACTGTAGCTGGGTCATAGGAGAAACCAAAAAAAAAAAAAAAAAAGATTCAGAAAGTTGGTCTGCAAGGTATCACCATCTCCCATGCCCTTTTGAAGGTCTATTTAAATGCAGTAATGTTCATATATATACCTATATATGTTTTATTTATATATAAAATTGAGAGATTTGGCTCTAAGAAATTGCATGTTTCTTTTTTGTGTGGTTTTATAAACATTGTAGCTGTGGATTCAAACTCACAAACTTTACAGCCGATAACACTGGAATTGAGAAGGCGGAAAATATCAAAAGGAAGTGAAGTCCCTTTAAAACGTCCTCGGCTTGACAAAAATTCATGTGAGTCTCCAGTTTGCATATGTATGGGTAGAATTTTATATTGTTTGTGCCATCCTCTTCTATATTCATTCTGCCCCCATTACTTACAAGCTTAAAGCTTGTTTTTGGTCATATGAGCTAATATAAATGGGATCAGAAGGAGTTTTTGCTAGAAGAAAAATAAATTCTAAAGCACAAACTGTATTAATGTTGGGTTCAGTGGTATCATCTCCATATCTGTAAACTACATTTGATTTGAATTTCACTGGAAATTTCATGACTTAGAAGAAGAAATGGATTTCATATGCTTAGTGAAGCTGTAAAAGTACTATTTATTGATTTTAAAAAATACTCTGTTGGCTCCAAAAAGGATTTGTGATGGCTCTATGTAAGTCTCTTATATACCTTATTGACTTTGGAAGTTAGTATATAGATTTTATATCGGGAATCCTCAATATAGAAATTAGTTGTCAAGATTTGGATGTGGTCTGGCACATATGAATCTTTAAAGAAGCAAAATTCTACTTTGGTAGAGAAAGTTTGCCCTTACTTAAAACTATAAACTAGGAAAGGATTTTTCCTTTTATTACTAGTCTAACGTTCCTGAAGTCTCTCTGTAAAGCACTTATAGAGGCAGCCAGCCCAGCAATCTGTACTAGCAGAGTTATTTCTTCTTGTTAGTCTCTTGACTACAGCTCTCTTAATGGTTTAATAGCCCAAGAAAAGTCAAAAAACTACTCAGACAACACTGACAAAGACTTATCCAGGAGACGGTCCTCCAGGCTGTCTACAAATGGGACCCATGAGGTTCTAGATCCTGACTTGGTTGTATCAGATTTGGTTACTACGGATCCTTTGCAAGACACACCATCTAGTACTAAAGAATCTGAAGAAGGTGAGTCAAAGTCTGTTTTGGAATTATCTTGCCTGTCTGGTACTTATCTAGTAAGGACCGGTGTACTGCCTTCCACACGTGTTAGGTGGTCTTAAGCTATTGAATGGGTTGCAGTGTTTTTATAATATATTGTCTTTATTGATGATTCAATCAGTAGACAAACTTTTTGGATGTAGTTTTGGTTGGTTTTGCTTAGATACTGCTGACTGTTAGTTGAAGGTATACTGCTTGAAGAGCCCTGCCTTTCTGGTACCATCTCACTCCATTCCTCTATCTTTTTATTTATACTTTATCATTTCCTCTTTTCACTTTAGCCTCTTTCTTTGAGATACTCACAGGCCAGTCCATATGTGCTGGAACCTGTGAATGTTTTCTTGTTTGTTTTGAGATGAATGGCGTCCTGTAAAATGTCCTTGACTTTCTTAGACTGTTGTGAGACTTTGGGTTCCCAGATTATATACATATGTATATAATACAAGCTTTCTTTTTTTCCTTCTAGGTCAGTTGAGATTGCCTTCGGAACCTGGCCAGGTCTCATCTGCACTGACTTGCCTCTCCTTTGGGGATGTTTTGGGGTCTGCAGGCTTGGAGTTGAATTGTCAGTCAATGGGAGAAAACACTATGAAAACGGAACCGGCTTCTCCTCTTGCTGAATTACAAGAGATTTCTGCTGTGGAAGGTTCATATTTAGAATTAAATTAATCCTCTTCTTATATATACTTTTGCTTCTGCTTTAATTGTAAACTTAAAAAAAAATTAAGCAGGGCATGGTGGCTCAAGCCTGTAGTCCCAGCACTTTGAGAGGCAGAGGCGCAAGTATTGCTGAACCCAGGGGTTCGAGACCAGCCTGGGCAACTTGGCAAGATCTCACCTCTACAGTAAACCAAGAAAAATGAGCTGGACATGGTGGCATACGTCTGTGATTCCAGCTACTTTGATGACTGAGGCGAAAGGATCACCTGAGCTCAGCAGGTTGAGGCTACGGTGGCCATGAGCGGCCACTATACTCCAGCTTGGGTGACAGAGTGCGACTCTGACTCAGAAAACAAACAGACAAACAAACAAACAAATTGACTTCTTGGCTGGGCATGGCTGTAAACCCAGCACTTTGGGAGGCCGTGAGAAGAATGTTGAACCCAAGAGTCAGAACCAGCTTGGGCAACATAGTAAAACTCCATCTCTACAAAAAAATTAAAAAATTAGCCAGTCATGGTGGCATGTGCCTCTAATTCTAGCTACTAAGGAGACTGAGGCAGGAGGATTGCCTGAGCCCAGGAGATCCAGGTTACAGTAAGCTATGGTTGTGCCACTACACTCTACCTTGAGCAAGACTCTGTCTCCAAAAAAAAAAAAAAAAAATTGGTCTGGCACTGTGGCTCAAGCCTGTAATCCCAGCACTTTAGGAGGCCGAGGTGAGAGGATTACCTGAGTTCGTGGGTTCGAGACTAGCCTGGGCAACGTGGTGAGATCTCGTCTCTTCGATAAAACAATTAGTCGGGCATGGTACTGTGCATCTGTAGTTCTGGCTACTTGGAAGGATGTGGCGGAAGAATTGCTGGATCCCGATAGGGCTGACGCTAGGATGGTCATGAGTGTGCCACTGCCCTCCAGCCTGGGCGAAGAAGTGAGACTTCAACTAAAAATAAATAAATAAATAAATAGACTTTTCTAATGATGTTTTTTCACCTTTTATTAATAATACTCCGTTATTTTAATGCTATGTGTCTTTCATATTTGACTTGTTATTTGTGTTCCCTCTCTTCTTTACTTGGCTAGTATGGCCAGGACTTTATCAATTTTGTTGATAGTTTTAGAGAACTAACCTTTTGCTTGAATTTTCTCTTTTGTTTGCCTTTTCAAAATGTCATTGATTTTTGTTTTGATTTTCATTATTTTCTTCAACTTTTTTTTTTTTTTTTTTTGGAGAGATGAGGTCTCGCTAAGTTGCCTAGGCTGGTCTCGAACTCCTGGGCTCAAGCAATCCACTTCCCTCAGCCTCCCAAAGTGTTGGGATTACAGGCATGAGCCACTGCGCTTGGCCTCGTTTTCTTCAACTTTTTCTAAAAACTCTAGGTAACTGATTTTAGATCCTTCTTCCTGTGTATATAAATATTTAAAGTTATAAATTTCCTGCTAAGTATTGCCTTGACTTCATCCTACATATTTTGATACATGATATTTTAATTTTCATTCATTTAAAAATATATTATTCATTGGTTGATCATGGGTTAATTAGAAGTGTGTTGTTCCATTTTCAAGTATTTGGGGTTTTTAGATACCTTATTGTTACTGATTTCTTTTTTTTTGAGTTGGAGTCTCACTCTGTCACCCAGGCTGGAGTGCAGTAGCACGCTCCCAGCCACCGCAGCCTCAACCTGCTGGGCTCCTGTGATCATTCCGCCTCAGCCTTCCAAGTAGCTGGAACTACAGGCGCATGCTACCATGCCTGACTAATTTTTTGATTTATTGTAGAGATGAGGTCTCGCCAAGTTGCCCAGGTGGATCTCAAACCCGCAGGCTCAGGCAATCCAGTCACCTCGACCTCCCAAAGCACTGGGATTACAGGCTGAACCACCGAGCCCAGCCTGTTACTGATTTCTAATACAATTTCATTGTGGTAAGAGAGCATACCTTATACCCTATAGGATTTCAGTGTTTTTACATTTACTGAGAATTTTTTTTTTTTTTTTTTGAGTAGGCTTCTCACTCTGTCACCCAGTCTGGAGTGCAGTGGCAGACTCACAGCCACCGCAGCCTCGCCCTCCTGGGCTCAGGTCATCCTTCCACCTCAGCCTTCCAAGTAACTTGAACTATATAGCCAAGTGCCACCATGCCCAACTAATTTTTTGATTTATTGTAGAGATGAGGTCTCACCAAGTTACCCGAACTGGTCTTGAACCCGTGTGCTTAGGCAATTCTCTCACCTTGGCCTCCCAAAGAGCTGGAATTATAGGTGTGAGCCACTGTGCCTGACCTGTTGAGAATTATTTTATGGCCCAGCATATGATCTGTTTTGGTGAATGTTCTGTATACACTTGAAAAGAACAATGTGTTCTACTATATTGTGTGTCTGTTCTGTGTTTGTCAACTAGGTCAAGGTAGTTGATGGTGTTTTTCTGGTAAATATCTCCATTGGTTTTTGTGGGATTTTTTTCTTGTGTATTTCTATCAATTTCAAGAGAAGTGTGTTAAAATCTCTAACTCTATGGTTGTGCCTGTTTCTCCCTTTAATTCTGTCATTTTTGCTTCATGTATTTTGAAATTCTGTTACTAGGTACATACATATTTATAATAATTGTTACATCTTTCTGATGTATTGCCCCTTTATAATATGAAATACCACTCTGTTTGATAATAGTCTTTGACTTGAAGTCAACTTGGTCTGATGTTAGCATAGGTACTGAAGCTTACTTTTTTTGCTTACTGGGTGCTTGGTATGCCTAATTTTCTCTCTTCTTTTTTTTCTTTTTTGAGTCAGAATCTCACTCTTTTGCCCAGGCTGGAGTGCAGTGGCTCGCTCACGGCCACCACAGTTTCAACCTGTTAGGTTCAAGTGATCTTTCCCCCTCAGCCTTTCACGTAGCTGGAACTATAGGCATGCTCCACCACACTTGGTTGCTCAGGCTGGTCTCAAACCCATGGGCTCAGGAAATCCTCTTGCCTCCACCTCCCAAAGTGTTGAGATTACAGGCGTGAGCCACTGCGGGCCTGACAGTATTTCTCTTTTCTTTCAACATAATTATGTCTTTAAATTCAAATTATGTCTCACCTTGGCCTCCTAAAGTGCTAGTATTACAGGCTTGAGCCACCATGCCCAGCCTGGTGAAATATAAGCTTTTAGCTATATTTCATTGCATTATTTTAGTGACTTTTGTAGGGATTATGATATATATCCTTAACTTTACAGTTTACTTAGAGTTAATATCAAAACACTTTATGTGAAGTTCTTTTCTCATTACTGTATTCAACTAGTCTTTAAAAAAAATAAACCGGGCATGGTACCTGAACGCCTGTAATACCAGCACTTTGGGAGGCAGATGAGAGAGGATTGCTTGAGCCCACAGGTTCAAGACCACCCGGGACAATTTGGTGGGACCTCGCCTCTACAATAAACCAGAAAATTAGCCGAGTATGATGGCGTGTGCCTGTAGTTCCAGCTACATGGAAGACTGAGGCGGTAGGATCACCTGAGCCCAGCAAGTCAAGGCTGTGGTGGCAGTGAACTTGCCATTGTACTCTAGCTGGGCGACAGGGTAAGACTCCAACTCATAAAAATAAATAAAAAAATAAAAGCAGAAAGCCTAGGCATGATGGCTCATGCCTGTAATCCCAGCAGTTTGGGAGGCAGAGGTGAGAGGATTGCCTGAGTTCATGGTTTTGAGACCATCCTGGGCAGCATGGTGAAACCACGTCTCTACAATAAATACAAAAATTAGCCAAGTGTGGTTGTACAGGGCTGTAGTTCTAGCTACTTGAAAGGCTAAGACAGAAGTATCCCCTGACCTCAACGGACTGAGGCTGCAGGGGCTGTGAGTGTGCCATTGCACTTCAGCCTAGGCAACAGAGTGAGACTCTGACTAAAAAAACAAAAAAAAATCAGAAAAAAGGCCAAAAAACTCTATATAAAAGGCTGTTTAGTTCCATTAATCTCTCCCATGTTGTTGATGTCATATGAGTTACATGTACATATGCTGTGAAATCCATGATATAGTATTGTAATTTTTGTTCTAAATAAATATGTATTTTAAAGACAGTAAGACAGAAGATATAGCTGGTTTTTTTGTGTGTGTGGAAGTTTCCCTCTGTAGCCCAGGCTGGAGTGCAGTGGCACACTAGTAGCCACTGCAGCCTCCACCTCTTAGGCTCAGGGTATCCTTCTGCCTCAACCTTTCGAGTAGCTGGGACTACAGGCATGTGCCACCATGCCCAGCTAATTAAAAAAAATTTTTTTTGTAGAGACGAAGTCTCACTCTATTTCCCAGGCTGGTCTCAACCTCAAGACCACAAGTGATCCTTCCATTGGTTGACTCTTTTGTTGACTATGGGCCATATTTTCTCCTTTTTCCATATGCCTAATGTTTGTATTATAACCTGGACGTTGTGACTGAAATGTCGTAGAGCTTGGGTTATGTTGTATTCCTAAGAATACTGATTTCTTTACTTTTAAAGGGTAATTTGCTTGACTCAACTCAGTCCAAATTATTTTCCTTTTATAGTGGTCAGTAGCTGAAAAATTTCTGTTCATTCAGTCTTTTAGCCTTTGTGTGGGTTGCTTGGAGTTCTCTCCCTTTAGTGATCGACTAAGATTTAGACAGAGTTTTTAAGCAGATATTGGGGTGACCTGCTTGTGGCTCTCCTTTTTAGGATTTTCCCTTTCTCTTCACAGCTGTTGCAGGTACACTGAATATTGTTTTAGGTTTCTTTCACCAATAAGACTAAAGGTTTCTCTCTGAGTTATAGCAATCTGGTCCTCCTAATTGGGGTCTGCCTTTGGACAAAAAGTCTTAGAAAACGGGAAACTCATATAGTGATCTTTTTTTCCTTCCCTTATTCCAAATGTTTGACACCTCACCTTTCTCTGCCTTCTTTTTGTTTCTCTCCAGTGTCCTTAAATATTTGTTTTTTACTTAGTTTTTTTTTTTTTTTTTTTAGTTGGAACCTCACCCTGTCACCCAGACT